TCCAACCCAAACTGCTGCACCCTCACATCCACAAGCGTGTGGCTTGCTCAGCACCCTAATCCTCTACCTGAACCCAACAATCCCCAGCCTGGAGCCCCCTCCCTGAGCCAGCATCCCCTCCTCCAGAGCTTGCACCTCTCACCCCTTCCCACACCCAAATCACTCACTCCTACCCCAGAACCCACACCTCCTGTCTCAACTCAAACAAAAAACAGGACTATGTAGCACTTTAAAGACTAACAAGATGGTTTATTAGGTGATGAGCTAATTAGGGTCTGGCCCACGAAAGCTCATCACCTAATAAACCATCTTGTTAGTCTTTAAAGTGCTACATAGTCCTGTTTTTTGTTTGAGTTGAGACAGGAGGTGTGGGTTCTGGGGTAGGAGTGAGTGATTTGGGTGTGGGATCAGTGAGTGTGAGTAAGGGCTGGGGCAACAAATGATGGAGAGAAGGGGAACAGAGAGTGTGGGGCCTCAAGAAAGGGGTGGGGCTATGTCTAGGCTACAGAGTTTTTTCGAAAAAAGTGGCCTTTTTTCAACTTCACCTGCATCGAGACAGCCGTCGTGTTCTTAAATCGAAATTAAATCGAAAGAACGCGACAGTTTTTTTTTATTGTGGTAAACCTGCTTTTACGAGGAAGAACACCTTTTTTTGAAAGAGTTCTTTTGAAAAAAGGCTTTGTTGACTGCAAACAGGGCTTTTCTGAAAGAGAGTGTCCAGATTGCCTGGGTGCGCGCTTTCAAAGAAGCGGATTGTTTTTCGAAAGTTTCATGTCTGTCTAGACGATCTCTTTCGAAAGAGGCTTGTAGTCTAGACGTACCCTATGGCTGCGTCTATTTTGGCATGATTTTCCGCAAATGCTTTTAACAGAAAAGTTTTCCATTAAAAGCATTTTCGGAACAGAGCGTCTAGATTGGCACGGATGCTTTTCCGCGAAAGCACTTTTTGCGGAAAAGCATCCATGCCAATCTAGACACGCTTTCCCACAAAAAAGACCCAATCACCATTTTCGCGATCGTGGCTTTTTTGCGGAAAACAAATCTGAGCTGTCTACACTGGCCCTTTTGCGCAAAAGCTTTGCGCAAAAGGGACTTTTGCCTGAACGGGAGCAGAATAGTATTTCCGCAGGAAGCACTGATTTCTTACAGTAGGAAGTCAGTGCTTTTGCGGAAATTCAAGCGGCCAGTGTAGACAACTGGCAAGTTTTTCCAGAAAAGCAGCTGATTTTCCGGAAAAACTGGCCAGTCTAGACACAGCCTGTGTGACTGAGCTAGCCTAGACAATGGGATGTCTGTTCAGTTAGATTTGGCTGTAATCTAGCCTGAACCTAGGTGAACTTAAAGGTGACCTGAAATGTTCTTTTAAAAATACATTAAAACTGCTGAAGTTTTCAAATCCTTAACACAATAGGTAGAGCTATTTTTTTAAAAAACCAAATGTGTTTTAAATTAAAATATTTCAAGGTTGTTTTGAAATGCCAGGCTGAAGGACAGTGCCCTGCAAATGGCCAAAAATAAGGGATATGCCTTTTTAAATTTACTATACATCATGTGACTGCTTTTCTCTATTGTTTCTACCACTCACTGATGCATGAAGCAGTTTCTCTGGAGGAAATGTCTGCAGCGAACAGACCTTCTCTCTGGCCAAGTAAATTGTATATGGGTGTCTTGTATTATTTTGATGCCTCTCCTGTTTCTGATAATACTGAGCATTTAGGATTTGCTTCTGCTCTCCATTCAAGTCAATGGCAAAAATCCCATGGCTGAATGATGGAAAACCAAGCCTTTATGTCATACTTTTCATCCAGAGATCTCGGTGTGCTATAAAAGCTGGGCCAGCATTATTAGCCCGGTTTCAGTAGATGGGGGAAGCAGAGACATATAAAGGTGGTACAACACACTCACGGTAAGAGGGCAGGTCAGTGGAAGAACCCAGGTCTCCTGACATTCAGTCTAGTCCCTAACCACTGGACAATGCTGCCTTCCTCTTTTCTGTCATCCACTTGGTTTTTCTTCTCTCAGGCTATGGCTATGCTGCCATTTTTTTTCAGAAGAGGATATGCAAATTGTGCTTGCATTTGCATATCTTCTTCCCATTCTTTTTGCAGAAGAGGTTTTGCCGATAAAAAGCCCCGTGTAGATGGGGTCATTTGTTGGAAAAATCCTCTCTTTTGCAAGATCCTGTACACTTTAATTTTTGAGGAATAAGGGATCTTACGAAAGAGAGTTTTTTCCCCAACAAATGGCCCTGTTTACATGGGGCTTTTTAATCGGCAAAACCACTTCCGCAAGAAGAACTGGAAAAAGATATGCAAATGCGAGTGTGATTTGCATATCCTCTTCTGCAAAAAAACGGAAGGGTAGCCATAGCCTCACTCTTCTTTGTTTCTGATCTTTTTGCTACCTTCCCCCTCCTTCTCTTCTTCTCCCTTCTTCTTCCAGTCTCCTCACCTGCGACTATCCTCTCATCTCCTTCCACTGACCACTTTTCTGCCTGCAGCCTCCATTCATTTTGGCACTTCTTCCATGCAGCACTTTGAGAATTAGATAGTAGCAGCAGCTCTAGCTTTCTGGAAATCAAGTAGGTTTGGATCAGGACTGCAGACCCATAATTATTCATATTTGTAGCATAGTATCTCCCTAGAGCAGTGGTCCCCAATGTGTTGCCCGCGGGTGCCAGGGCATTTATGTGCACCCGCCTAGTGACAAGGGCTGGCCCAAGCCATTCTTGCACCTCGGGCCCCGGGCGCCCAGCGCATGCACAGCCCCCACCCTGGGCGCGTGGCACCTGCACCCCCCCGCCCCCGGGTACCTGGCAGCCCCAAAAGGTTGGGGACCACTGCCCTAGAGCCTCGACCAAGACTAGGGCCCCTTTGAGCTAAGCACTGTAGAAACACAAGGGCTACGTCTACACTGGCCCCTCTTCCGAAAGGGGCATGTTAATTTCACAGGTCGTAATAGGGAAATCCGCAGGGGATTTAAATATCCCCCGCGGCATTTAAATAAAAATGTCCGCCGCTTTTTTCCGGCTTTTAGAAAAGCCGGAAAAGAGCGTCTACACTGGCCCCGATCCTCCGGAAAAAAAGCCCTTTTCCGGAGGATCTTATTCCTACTTCGAAGTACTTATTCGAAGTAGGAATAAGATCCTCCGGAAAAGGGCTTTTTTTCTGGAGGATCGGGGCCAGTGTAGACGCTCTTTTCCGGCTTTTCTAAAAGCCGGAAAAAAGCGGCGGACATTTTTATTTAAATGCCGCGGGGGATATTTAAATCCCCCGTGGATTTCCCTATTACGACCTGTGAAATTAACATGCCCCTTTCGGAAAAGGGGCCAGTGTAGACGTAGCCTTAGGGTACATCTACACAGCAACATTATTTTGAAATAACTAGTGTTATGTTGAAATAACTTAGTCTTCATCTACACAGCAGGCAGTTATTTCAAAATAATGTTGAAATATTGCCAAGCTAGAAGACTTCTTACTCTGACTCTGGTAACCCTCATTGTACGAGGAATAAGGGAAGTCGGAAGAAGAGTGCTCTATTTCAAATTAAGTGCTGTGTAGATGCTTCCTATTTTGAAATAAGATACACAATTGACATAGCTCAATTTGCGTAGCTTATTTCAAGTTAAGCCCTGCTGTGTAGATGCTCCCATAGTAAGAGACAATCTTTGTGCCAAAATGCTTACATGCTAAACAGGCAAGACAGACAAAGATTGGGAGAAAGCAAGTATTATTATCCCCTTTTTGCAGATAGTGAAATTAAGTGATTTACCCAAAGTCACATGAGACCTCTCTGTCAGAACTTGGAACTGAACCAAATCTTCACAGACCGAGAGCACCACAAAACCATTCTTCCTCTATGCACAATTCCACAAGTTAAACCCAAATATATGATTATCAATTCCTCCTTTCCTTCCCTGCCCAGTCCTGATCTTAGTGCTGTGTGAATCCTCTGCTTCCATTAATTATGTCCCTAGTATCTCATGCCATCATATAAACCTCAGCTTGTGTCTTGGTTGCTAAGAAGCTTCTAAGTTCAATTATCCACTTCTTCATTCTGTGTGGTCTTTGAAATCTTACAGTAAACATGTGTGCATTTATTCTTAGTTACCAAAGCCTCTGCGTAGTGCTGTATTCTCCAAATAATAATCATACATCAAAACAAAGGTCAGTAGTTCAAAATGACCATAAAAGATCATGAACTTCTTCCTCCCTTCCTGTCCCATTCAAAATACCATGTTAGAACATTCAGCCATGCTTCCTTAAACAGTCCGAACTTTAGTCAGTTTATTTTATCAAATTTATATTTAACTTTGGAATATTTTGGCACATGCTGACCAAACTAAAAAAGTGTTCTTTGATTTTGTTTTTAACAATTTCCTCTCCCCGGTGGAAGGGAGTTGGCTGTAGGATATATATTTTGTTCTAACGTGACAACCCAGTCATTAGATTATTTTTCAAGCATCCCACATCTGTTAGTATGTATGAAAATACATAACCTGTTTTCTGTCCCAAAGAACTTAAAATATAGATACAACAACGGAGATTAGTAAACCAACCAACTGTGGGAAGGGAGATTACAGGAATTGATAAACAAACATTGAGGAATAAAACTCACTTTATCTTTCTCTGGAGAAATTCAAGACGACTGATCTGTAGAAAATCTATGAGAGGCATTATTCTATTTAAAGGGGGAAAATGGGAAATTTCAATATTATTAAATTAAGCTGGCTGAGCTACTGTAAATACAATTATCCTTTATTACTCTTCTGTTAGCATACTGTGCTTCAGCTTTTCCTTTAATTTGCTTAGCATTCCTGTGAAGTAGCTATGACAATGGCGTAAACTGTTCGACAATTTTCTGTGTACGTTCACTGTTTGAGGTTTGAAGCTGAAACCATGTCAGTTGTTTATTTTCTGCATCTATTTTTAAATGAGCTACCAAGACAAAATGGCTAAACTGGTAACAAACTGAAATCTTCTTTTCCCCCTACATTTTAGAGGCCCCAAGAGGAGAAATATCCTGTAGGACCCTGGCTACTGGCACTGTTTGTTTTTGTTGTCTGTGGATCAGGTATGAACACACCACTGAGACTAGATAAAGAAGGGTGGGGAGGGAGTTGAGCTGGCAGCAGAAAAGCATTGAAGAGCCTGATCCAGCTCCCACTGAAGTCAGTGGCATGGTTCCCATTTACTTCAGTAGGAGTGAGATCGGATGCTACAAGTTTGTGGACAAAATTCTGACCCAGGTTGCATGCACACAACTGCCACTGGAGCCAATGGCAACAGCTGTGTGTGTATTTATGAGGAAAATTTGATCCTTGGCATTCAGGGTGGCTCCGGGTCTGTTCTGGAGACGCTTGCATGAGCGCTTAGGAAAAGTTTCTGGAGACTGCAAGTGGTTTAATGTATTCTTCCTCTCAGATCTGTATCGTTAATTACTTACCATGTTGTCTTGCTTAGCGCATCCTAAGAGGAAACTTTTTTCCAGGTTCAGTTGAAAACTGGAGTTTCAATTCTATGTAGGACTGGATGGCTCAGGTTCCATGTCCCATTCATTTTCTTCCATGTGGAGGTTGCAGGTTTGAACTTGGGCTGGGATGGTACTAGTGTTACCATGGGAACATGGATGTACTTCGGGGCTGGGAGCATTTCCCCTCCCAAACTGCAAACCTCAGGTAGGAATGGAATTTGTTCTCTTCCCAGCTTGTGACCCCATTGGTCTGACTGGAGCTACTCCCTCCAATATAGAAATCAAACCACGCCGGAGAGAGTTAGCTGACTTCCAAGTGATCCCTCCAGAGCATTGCTAAGGCTCAGTAGTGTGCCTTTTGTGGTTTTCCCCAAGGTGGTCAGTCTAGGGTCTCTTGCAAGAACTGATGTGTGTCTTAGAATCATTTTTTGAGGCTCTGTGTAGAGAGAGTCATTTGTAGACCCACTGTGGAGTAATATTTTTCTATTAAGATTAGGCCATTGGTATTCTGTTCATAGAGCTACCCATGGACCTTGTGTTGCTTTCAGAAATGCAATACAGTGACCTTTGTGTTTATCTGACCCTCATGAATGCCACTTTTGAGAACATTATGTTCCTATTTTTTTATTTTATACCTCATCTTAAAGCATGATTTCTACTCTCCCTCCCCACCAAAAAAATAGTAGCTATGGTAAATCCACTCCCCTCAGCTCAGTGCATCTAGATGTGTTCTCCAACAGGGCTAAAGGAAGGCCTTATGCACTGCATTCCTTATGCACACAAATCTATCCCACGCATCAGTGTGAGTTTTTGGTGTAGGACTGTTATCCCTGTGGTTTTGTGTGCTAAAGCTAACAAATATGTAGAACACAGCATCAGACTGCTGCCAGATTTCAGAGCTTCAGCTACCCTGCAGTTCCCAACTCCATTACATGTCTTTGGTGTCCTGTGAACTTTCATGTTTACTTATTCCCTTATGTGGCCTCTTAACAAAGAATAAAGACATCAGTGCTCTTTAGACACATCCGATGTGTTGTCAGGGTCTCAAGAGATAATACAGATTGAACCTCTCTAGTCCGACACCCTTTGGTCCGGTAACATCCACGGTCCAGCATGATTTTAGTTAGCCGGATTTCCGCTTATCATGAGTATGACCAAGTTTCCAGAAGTCCCATAAAGTTTATTTATAGCCACCAGTCCTGGCTCTTAGTGTTCTGTGCTGGTTTTTAGCTCTAATTTATCACTAAATGTCTTCTAAGAGCCCAGTAAGGAGTAGAAATGTAGGTAATGCTGCTAGACAATATTGACCTCCTGTCGTTCGGTAAATTTTCTGGTTAGACACCTGTCAGGTCCCAAGGGCTCCGGACTAGAGAGGTTAAGCATGTAGTTTCTTCCCATGGCAAGACATCAAGTAGTTTCAAACATGCTCTGTCAGAAGGAGAAGGGTCAAAGTGCTGCTCCCTATTTAGTTATTATTTTCCAGGGGGGAGGGGCACAGAGGGATCCCAGTCAAGATTTCACTGTATTGGGTCACAATGTCCAAAGAGCAGACAGGCAGCCCCAAAGAGCACATAACAACAACAATTCTAAGAAAAGTAACAAGAAACAATAAGAAATAGAAAATAAGCCCAATAAAACAAACCCAAAATGTTTGTTTTATTTTCTAAAATTAACCAGCTGGACACGGGAGATGCAGAGAAGATAAAATAAATATGCTGGTGATAAATGACAGACATCCAGTTGATTGCCAAGTAAGAACATTCTGTAATATGGAACCCATCCCTGCATTCTTTACTCGCCCTAACCAGTGACCGAAATGGGAGTTTTCCCTGAGTGAGAACCACTGAATTGGTTTCATTATCTGAAAAGACATCATCATCATGTGGCCTAGGCATTTAGCTGTCATTTTTAAATGCTTAGTCAGACATTCAGACTTCAGTTTTCAGGAACTTATCTGCATTGGTGATGTTTGTTCTTTCAGTAGTGGATCCATTAGAAAAATACCTCCCTTTTCTACATTCTCAGGGCTGTTCTTCTGGGCTATTGCCATCACATACAGCTCTCCCTTTATTTGTATTGTGCAGTGCCTGCCACCTGGGGGATGGGCCACAACCGTATAACAAAGACATGGTACCTGCCCCCATTGCGCATTGTTTTGCACCATGCAAATTGAAGGCCAGATTGTGCTATTGGATGAAGTACATGCAGTGCTCCCAGTCAATTTGAAATGTGAACCTGAGGGTTGAGATGCTGCCATTTTGGATTTTTTTAAGGGTTATTGCTGCATGAGGGAGGGAATTCCTAACTTATGTAGCTAAGGTTTACAGCAATTAAAGCCAGAGAAGACCACCTGGATCATGTAATGTGATCTTTATATTTTGCACGACTGGTCTCTTAATTCCTGCAAATGTCTTATCCACTTAGCTCTGTTGGTAGCCTCTACCCAGCTGCTCTTATTGTTGAGAACTTTTTCTTAATGTCTAACCTGAACTTTTTTCCTTCCTTAGCTTCAGGCCATTGCTCCTTATCTACCATCTTCTGAGAATGGAATAATTCCCTTTCTTCATTTCTGTTATTACCTTGAAGGTATTTATGAACTGTGATCATGTTTATCCCCAACCCTCCCCAAGTCTTCTCTTTTCTAGAACATGCCCATTTAGTCCTTTCTCTCTCCTTCTTTTTGTAGGTTATATACCAGATCCCTGTGTCCTTTGTGTTGCCCTTCTATGTATTTGCACTAGTGTGTATATATATATAGACTTCCTAAATGTTGAGGTCTGGAAAGAAACATAAGAGTTCAGGTCTGCCATGTAATCTGGCCCTATTGCCTTTCTAGTTTGTACATGTCAAGCCTATTTATATATCTGAGACCAGCAATGGTTTCTGTTCCATTTGCTTGTTTTGCAGTTGAACTTAATATTTCACTTGCTATCTTATTATCACCCGTTGGTCTCTGGCAGACATCCTGTTTCCCAGATCGCTCTCCTCCAGTCTGTATCAGCGCTGCTGCTTACTTCCTCTTCCTACGTGTATGGCTTTAATATTTGCATGCAGAGCATACAGCCCACTCTACAAAATCATTCTTATCCTTCTGTGTAACTGGCTAATCCTGCAAGATTGAGATAGTTGAATTTACATCTTCCTCTAGATTGCTAATTAAAGTATTAAATAATACCGTGTAACGGGCTAATCCTGCAAGGTTGAGATAGTTGAATTTACATCTTCCCCTAGATTGCTAATTAAAGTATTAAATAATACGGGTCCTACTACATGCCTGTAATACCCCAGATAGAAAATTTGCCATTTACAAGATCTCTCATCCTCAGATTGTCAGTTAATTTCTAAGCCACTATTTGGTATTTGTATCTTTTTGGTATTAATCACTAACATAGAATTAAAATACATTGGTATAAGAAAAGTCTTATTAAGATGAAGGTCCCAGACGTCCAAAACCTGAAGTACTGTTTTCAGCTCTGCCACTGATTCACTATCTGAACTTCAGCAACTCACTTAACCTTACTATGCCTGTGCTCACCCATCAGTATAAAGGGTATAATGCTCACCACTCCAAGACGATGGGAGGTAACATTAAGTAAGGATTGCAAAATGTTTTGAGGTCCTAGAATGAAAGTAACCTCGTGAGCATGAAGTATTGTGAAAGTTGGTAGGTTTGCAAGAACAGCTGAGATTCTTACCCAGTGATACAGGATCCATACAACACTGGGGGGATGTCAGTGGATTTTCCTGAACTGGAGTTGTTTGGTAAACCCATCCTTTTATTAGTAGGTCTGTAAAGAGAGAAAAGGACAATAACAGTATGTCTACACTTCATTCATCTTGAGAGAGAGGAATGCAAATGCAGACACCCGAAATTGCAAATGAAGTGGGGATTTAAATATCCATTTCATTTGCATAATTGCATTATGGCGCTATTTCGAAGTAGCGCTATTTCGAAATAGCGCCATAATGCAATTATGCAAATGAAATGGATATTTAAATCCCCACTTCATTTGCAATTTCGGGTGTCTGCATTTGCATTCCTCTCTCTCAAGATGAATGAAGTGTTGTGTGGAGTGATCTATTTTAACAAACCCATGTTTGTTTTAGAGATGTCTTTCTCCCAAATGTTTACATTAACTTTTAGTTTTGTATGTTCAGAGAGATTGCCCAGAACAATTGTTGGGCTAATTGGCCAGTGCATATTCTTGTTACTTCCTATTCACTTGGCCCTTTTTACTGATCATTGGGCACCTTGCCTGACCTGCAGCATTTGCTTGAAGAGACTCAGCGCTTGCCAGATTGCCTTTGCATATTCTTTTAGGAACTTCAGGTGCATTGCACCCACAGTTATAGACACTTTGCTCTGTCTGACATTCTCGCACCCACTCTTTGTTATGTTCTGCTTCTGGCATCTCCAGCAATTGTCTCTAATAAGCTCCTTGAATCCTACAGGAGCTTGTCCCGTTATCATTATAGCGAGATGAAAACTGAGTGCCAATAGTTATTTATTCCAATACAAAATAAATGAAGTTTTCAGAGTAGGCTGGGGAGCTGACTTTTCTGCTCATGTTTGTTTGCAGTGATCCTTCTCCTTGCTCTTTTCTGATTGTATTTCTAGAGTCCTTATTCCTTGTGACAAATTCTCTTCTTCCCTAGAGGTAACACGATTTCATTTTGCAGCTTTTCTCCTTTTATGCCTCTCTACAGCTAGCTTGGGCTTACTCAACTTGTCCTTTTCATTTCCTAGACACATCTCCTTCAGTTTCAGGTCTTGCTGTATCCAGCTCTTCAGTTTAGATAGGTTTTTCAATTTGTCTTTACCTTCTTGCCAGTGCAGACTGCAACTCCTTTGCTTCTGCCTGCCTGCTTTATTTCTGTAAGTATGACCATGTAGTCGTGACCTTGTAGTGAAAGGATGCGGCTTTTTAGAGTTGGGGGTGGAATCCAGCAAGGTACTGAGAGTCCTTAATGCCTTTTAAAGGTCCTTCGCTAGTCACACACAGATGCCATCCTTGGTCTCCCAATGCAAAACAGTTGCGCTGTTACAATGTCAGAGCACCCAAGACATCAGACCATTTATAACACCGCTGTTGCATGCTTGCTAAGCTATCCTTTATTTTTAATTCTTGAGATGCTGCGGTACAACTAATCGAACTTCCTCTGCTTATTAATAACCCTTTGGATCTGTTAGTTACTAATAGGCCTCCTTTAGCTCGAGCATCCCTGGTGTATGTTGTCCCCTTCTAGTGCCTGCCTTTCTCCCTGTTTTTTCTCACTCAGCCATACACGCACTGGTGCTGCTTTCTCTCAGCTGTGTTCACCCCCCTCCCATTGAGTTATTCGCGTCTCAGAGTCTAGACTCCCCACTTCCTGTTTCTCTCTCTCTTTGAACTTCCTCAGCAACTCCACCGTCTTCCTGTTCCTTGCTGCACTTTGGAGTCAGCTGTTATGAAACAGATTCACTCGCTGGGTTACACAGGCAGAGCTGGATTCTCCATAGAGTTTGGTCTTACAGAACCTGTTGTACCAATGGTAGCTTTCTACAGTCCAATGGATCAGGCACACTGAGGCTGACAGGGTGACAGAAGCAGATTATTTTCACTAGTTTTACTGCTTCATAGCCTAATCGACTTGTGATTCAATTTAGTATAATACCTGTATTGCAGGAGGCTTAACTGTATGGACTGCAGGGCAAATCCCATGTGATTCGGGAATCCTGTTTATTTAAGAAAGAAAAATAACCTGCAGAGAAGTGAATTATAAAAGCACATACAGAATAAAATATGAAACATACCAACCCAAAACAAAATCCTGTATTAAAAACAGCTACAAAATCAAAACCACATATCCTACCCCAAGCTGTTTCTACACAAAAGAACCACCGGAGACTTCAAGAAATCCATTATCGACTTCCTGATTCTACAGATTTTACATTGAAGGTGACCAGATATTACAATGATGAGTAGCAGTATAAAACTCTGTGATAGACGGTCCAGATGCTCATCAGCTGTAATCTGGCACCACTTCATTGAGTTACGTACAATAGCAGAACATCTCATCTATCCTCTCTATCACTGTAAAGTATTACCTTAAGAAACGTGGTGCAGGAAGGTAGCACTTAGGGCATGTCTAGACTATGTTTTATTGTCAAAAGAGGATATGCAGATTCCTCAGGAATTTGCATCTCTTCTTCTGATCACTTTTTCGAAAGCGGGTCTTTCGAAAGTGAAAGTAATCTGGACATGTTTTTTTCGGGGGAAAAAAACCCTTTTCCAAAAATTCGAAAAAGGAGTGGGTTTTTTTGAAAAAAATGCATCCAGACTACTTTCCCTTTCAAAAGACCCGCTTTCGAAAATGCAATCGGAAGAAGATATACAAATTCCTGTGGAATTTGCATATTCTCTTTCAAAAATAAAGCGTAGTCTAGACATGCCCTCAGTGTCCGAAATGAAGGCTTGACTCTGCAAACCCTTACAAAGGGAATCCTTAGCCGCACAGTAAGTCTATAAACTGACTGGAAATGTGTCGCTCCGCCCTTCCCAGGTAGATTGACACCTGCTAGATCAGCTCAAGCTAGTGTGCTAAAAATAGCAGCATGATAGCCGTGACACAGGTAGCCTTCTATGGGCAGTCAGTCTGGGCCGCTGTGACCACACTGCTATTTATAGCTGGCTAGCTCAGGCAGAGCTTCGTGCTTTTCTGGCTAGCCATGCTGGGAAGCACCGTCCCACCTACTATATCAGGCCTATATGCAGGGGAAGAGGGAGGACGAAACGTGCAAGCACACCCTCCCCCCCCACACGGTTCTTCGTGGTCTGCCGTGGGGCCAATTCTGGCCAGCTTGGGAAAGGCAGAGGTGGCACGTTTCCTCAGCCTCCCTCCCCCATGCTCCGGCTAGCTGGGTGAAGACTGAGGTGATTCCGCTCCCTCCCCCAGGAGTGAGACTCGGGGCAGGGCTGGGCCAAGGGGCCGGGGCAGCTACCAGCCCCTCCCACAGCTCAGACCCTCCCACAGAAATTCCTGTGTACAGGCCTGTGCATAGGCAGCACCTCCTTGACTTCAGTGGAAGTTCTCGAGTGCCTGCAGAATGAAGGCTCAGAGTTGGCGCAAATTACCACAGCTCAGCAATTAAAGTGATGCTTCCCGATCCGGCACATTTCACCTTCTTGGTTTAAAAGTCAGTGAGTTTCTCTCAAAATTACAGACACCACCATAAAGCTTTAAAAGGGCATCAAGCGAGGGAGGTGTGAAAATACATGTGCAGGGCACATTGCCCAGTGAAAAGAGAGGTTTACACGCTCGGTATTTGCAGCTATGCCAGCTCATCCTGTGGCGCTCACTGGTTCCCACAGGAAGCACCCTAAGGGATGCCACTATAGAACTGGGGCCTTAGGAGGCAGCGATGGTACAGATTAAGAAAACACATGTAATGTTGGTATAATTAAGGACCAAGGCTCAATCCTGCAGCCTTTCAACATATGTAACATCTCTTAAAATCAGTGGGAGTTTTGCTTGCAAGGGGTCTGCAGAATCAAGCCCTTACTAAATTAGTGTATTAGTTATACTAAGGGACTGGAAATCAAGCAACTCAATGTGTGAGTCCTTTTCTCTATGGAGGTCTAGCACTAGTTTGTACCATCAGTTTTCATACCAAAAGGGATTTCTGTTTCAAATGTGATGGCACGGTGTGCCTCATTTCTATTTCATCAGCTCTGGTGACCTGTCACATCTGGCAGATTATCTTCTTATTTAAGAGTTGCATCCCAACTGGCTAGTAAACAGTAATCACCACTGCTCTTGTCTGTGGGCTGCAAACATAGGCCACAATCCTGCAAGTGGATTGGCAGGGGCGGACACATGTACACTGAGGCTCTGCATGGGTCCGCTGGAACAGATCTGTTTGCAGGATAGCGCTGTTATTGTCCCAGCCTGCAAAGCCAAACATCATCCCATCAGTTTCCATGTAGCTACTCACATGAGTGCATTTTGGCCGGCTTCAGCCCTCACTATGGAACGATCCATGAGGTTAGATGACCCAACCCACAAATCAGCTTAAGCAATTATTAAAGTAGGCCAGATTTGTCTTACTGGACTATCTACTTATAAGGAGCTGTTTATAAACAGCCCCGTAACAAGAAGTGATTGTTCCCATGAAAGAAACCCACCAACTTTTTAAGTGTACGCAGCTGTGCCTGGCAGCACTGCTGCACGCACACTCGTCTAAGGGGGTCTAATTCCCCATCAGTGCCAAGGGATTTACACTCGGGACTTCCATTAGTGTTCCACCTACATGGTATCTGCATAATCCTTTTTGCATCAATGGAAAGGACTGGTCCCTACTTGAAAGAAGTCCCCTGATCTAAGTACTTGCTAGATAACATCTGATCATGCATGTGAGAACATGAGCCATTCCGCTGTTTAAAGCAGCAGTATCAGAGTACAGGGTTGAATTTCAGGAATGTTAAACAGCATTTGAACAGCCTCTCTCTTTGTCTTGTTTCAGCTATCTTTCAGATCATTCAGAGTATAAGAATGGGCATGTGAGGAGCTGCATAAATTTGACATTGCCTTTATCATCCAACATGGTAGACCAGATACAACTTTAGCCTGACATGAATGCGAAGAGCTCTTATTTGAGAGTATCTGTGTGTTTCCTCTTGAATGGAGCAGGTCAAATTTCCTTTTGACCTGTCATATTGGTGGCGTACGTGTTTTAACTGCCACAGGAGATGAGGACATTTTGCTTTTCTATTGACTTAATGAGTTAACCACATTGGTTAGCTGTCCCAGTGCTGTTCAGTTGATTTATTTTTTTCTTTTACCTAATGTATTTATATGTGATCATGTGAGTGCTTGTTGATCTATTCTGTACTTTGTGTGTATATATTATAATTGTTTTATGCTGGAAATTTGTTTTTATTACAAATAAATATTCATGTTCAACTTGACTACATTTGTTCCATTATTCTATACACTAGTGGCCAAGTCCTTTAGCCCTTGCCTAGGGAAGTTGTGGAATCTCCATCACTGGAGATATTTGAGAGCAGGTTGGATAGACATCTATCAGAGATGAGCTGGATGATGCTTAGTCCTGCCATGAGGGCAGGGGACTGGACTCAATTACCTCTCAAGATCCCTTCCAGTTCTAGTGTTCTATTATTCTACTCAGGTGAATCTCTCAGTACATCTGTTTTTCTTCCACATAGGTGTCTATCAAGTGTTACTAGATTTAAATTCTTTGGAGTTACGCCAGTTAAAAACTGTTGTGAGATGAGAAATCAGGCTGACTGGAAGGTTTGCCTGAGTAAGAATTAATTAAAAACTCAGGACCCAAGGAAAAGTTGTCACGTTGTAGCCATTTAGGAAATATATTTTCACAGCAGGATGGTTCCAGGATTTTCCTTTGATTAGCAATCTTCCGGAAGCTGCTTGAAAAGAAAATTCTTCTCTTCCCAAAGCAATAGGAGTGACTCAAGAGCAGATTTAGATTGGCATCACGAGGTTCTTCACATCCCTTTGTCAGAAAATCCTTTCTGAACCCCCAAACATATTTAATGAAGTGAGGATTGTTCTGTAAGTGCTAAACGTCCACCTTGAAGAACCATAGTCCTAGTGTTGCCCACTAGGACAGCAGAAGATCATTTTCATATGGGGGAAAGAGGGAGGTGGAAGAGGGAGGCTTTGCATATGCACAAATGGCAGTTAGGTGACTAACCACAAGTGACTTGGGCAGTTAACTACCCATTTGTGCCTTTGAAAATCCTCCCCCCTCCAAAAAAATGCTAAGCTGGCATTTCAAAGAGGCCTAAAGCAGGTAGCATCCATCTCCCTTAAACCACTTTCCAAATCTGAGCCCCCTAATTATGGTCTCAAAATGCAGTTTTTAAGAAAGACCATAGGAGAAAAGCCAAGATGTTGATCAAGGGGCTGAACCATCATTTTGTTCTTCTTTTCATTACAGTTTCAAACATGGGCTATGTCTACACTCGCAGCTTCTTGCGCAAGTAATATGCAAATGAGTCTAAGTGTGGAATATTGCCCAGTCTCATTTGCATGTCTAATGAGCCCCCATTTTTGCAGAAGAGGCTCTTGCGCAAGAAGGAGCTGTCTACACTGCCCCTTCTTGCACAAGAAAAACCCTCTTGCACAATGCCGTTCTTCCTGAAAAGTAATAGGTGTAACGGCATTGCGCAAGAGGGTTTTTCTTGCACAAGAAGGGGCAGTGTAGATGCTCCTTCTTGTGCAAGAGCCTCTTCTGAAAACATTGGTGGCGCATTAGGTATGCAAATGAGGCTCGGCAATATTCCACACTTAGACTCATTTGCATATTACTTGCGCAAGAATGGTTGGAGACTGCAAGTAAATTATCTTTGCCTGGACATATGGATGGAATAATACTAGGAGTATATTTCTTTTTGCTGTCTTTCCTAGACCCTTTATATTCCTATCCAGAGCAGTGCTGCTACACTCGCTACAGCTATGTCTACACTATGAGATTATTTCAAAATAAGTTATTTGGAAATAATAACTCCCAAAGTAACTATTTCAAAGTAAGCTTATTCCCCAAGGAAAGCAGTTGTTGTTATTTCAAAATAACAAGCGTGGTAGTGTGGACGCTCTGCCTGTTATTTCAAAATAACTCCCCAGTGTAGACAAGCCCTACCTGTGCTCTGTCAATGTACAGTGTTATCCAGTAAGCAACAGATTTTCAAAGGCACAAGGGAGAGTGAGGTGTTCAGCTACTACAGAAAGTCAGTGGCCATTTGCATGCCTTTGAAAAATCTGCTATCCAAAAAACCAACAACCCCCAGCTATTTTAATAGGTTAGGGACAATTTTCAGCTCCTACATCTACTATTAGCCACTACATAAAAGTGGCCTGATTTTTCAAAGCTGCTAAGCACATCATGTGACTGTTACTTGTATTACACAGAGTAGCACCTAGAGCTCAGGGCCCCATTGTGCACTGACTATACAAACAAATGTGAAGGGAAAGTACCTGCCAAGAGGAGGTTACACTCCAAACAGGCAAGACAGATAATTAGCAGGAGGAGGAACAGAGGTACAGCAAAGTGAAGGTGACTTGCTTAGCCTCACACAGCTGATAATGCTTGTCTCTACCAATAATAGCACCTCGCTCTTACATAACATGGATGACTTGTAGATTCTAAAACACTTTACAAAGGAGGTCACAGTATCACTGCTCCCATTTTACAGCTGAGGAAACTGAGGCACAGAGCAGCAAAGAGATTTCCCCAAGGTCTCCCAGCAGGACAGTGGCAGAGTCCAGGTCTCCCACATATCAGTCCAGGACCCTCTCCACTAAGTCACACTGTTGCTTGCATTGACTTCCACGAATGTTAAACTATTTGTAATCAGTGGCCTAAAAATGGATAAGGGCCTCTTACCTTAGGAACCCAGCGTTGAAAGTTTTGTCCTATTTTTTTGCCTCTCAAAATTTTTCTTCGGGGCATTTTCAAATCAGTTTCCTGTCCTTGATCAGAGACCAAAAGTCCCTTGCCTCTTTCCTCACCTGTCCCATTCCTAAATAAATCGATTCCTCTACGTTATATAAGATGAGCTGGTCAAGATTTGAATTACATGTGCACATATGTTTTTCCCTGTTTGCCTTAATACAAAATTAACACATGTCGTAAAGCTTTCAGCTGCATGAGAGTACACACAGCACAATTATTATATGCAAAGAACAATGTGTGCCTTACCAATCTCCCAATTTGGGGTCAGCGATGCTGTGCAAAAGGAAGCAGGTAGCTTCATGTACGGCAGCTAGAGCTGTCAATTACTGGCACAGGGATGTTTTCAAGGCCCATGCATCTACCTCCTGTTCCAGAATGTTGTGCTGTCTACAAAGGCAGATGGAAAATCATACCCTTTCAAAGTTTCATCTTCTTTTTTTCTAATTGTGAACTATCCCCTTTTTGCCTGATTCAGCCTTGCTGTCTATCCTGCATGTAGCACAGTGCTTTGACTCGACCTGAGCGCTGTAAGTCAGGTGGCTGGGCTCAGTCTCATGGAGCAGAAGAAACAAAAGGCCTGTTCCTTCTCCTAAGCAAAACAAGGTTGGCCTCCTAGCTAAAAGGCAGAATTGCCATTCCTAATCCCAAGGAGGAACAGCTCAAGCAGGAAAGATGGATTATCTACAATGGCCACAGCATCTGGGATGCGGAATGTTTCCACTCCAGGCTGCTCAGGGCTCTTAGGTTCCAGCTTTGTACAGATACTAAATGAAGGTTTTCAGAAAGCATCAGCAAGTTGGAGGAAACGAACAGATTAATGTGTGCGGCTCAATGTTTGATTCTGGTCCTGCAGTCACTTGTCAAGACTTGCTGTCACTGCAGTTGGGATCTAGGAAAAGAGGTACTGAAAAACTACACATGACTGGACTTCAAATTAGTGACAGTGGAGGAGCAATACTACACCCATCCAAAGAAACTGTGTTATCTGAACACATGACAGACAGTGGTTCTTGGCTCACTGAGTTGCACTGTAATTGGTGTTTGCATAGATCTCAGGACAAGGATTCACATCATACTGGCCAAAGTAACAAAAGAAAGAAAATGGTAGCATAATCTTAAGGCTGGCCTGTGCTGAAAGTTCTGTGTAATCCACACGGTTGCTGGGAGTAGTGTACTGTTCCATGTTGTGGCACTTAAGAGAGAAGGAGAATAAGTTGCCCTATGGTAGAAGAATAGGGTTGCCAGATGGTTTCAGAGAAAATACTGAACAAAAACACTCCCCAAACCCACCACCACCGTGGCTCCTTTAATAATCGTGGGGTGAGGCTTTTTGGCCCTAACAGGCTGCCGGCAGCCACCCGCCATCTTGCCTCCTGCACCGGGCCAGACAGCTCCCCGGTAAGCACTAAGGTTGCCAGGCTGCCTGGGATTTTTGCCACGTGGTCAGGAAAAAAGCAGAAAGTACCAGACATTTTAGGTGTCCGATATTTTCTGAATTTTTTTACCGGACAGGAGGCACACACTGTCCAGTTCAATACCTGATCCCTGGCAACCCTGTAGGAGAGCCTCAGGCCCGGGGGCTGGATGCGGCCTCTGGCTCATTTGGATCTGGCACCAGAGGTTCAGGGCTCCCTTTCGGCATTAGGGAGCCCATGCTGGCACTCCAGCCAGTGTGCCCTCTAAGCTGCGCAGCAGCACAGCTTCACAGCCCCGCCCAGTCAGTCAACTCAGAGCAAGGAACCCTGAGCCTCAGACTTGACAGGGCTGGTTAATCACCTGTGAAGCTGTGCTGCTGCCCAGCTTAGAGGGAACATTGGCTCCAGCCCCCGCCTGCCACCATGGGGCTAGAGCCCACAAAATCAACTAGTCTGAGCCGCCCTATGGGAAAATGGGAAGTGTCTTTTCTCTTTCTCGGTGAAGGTTGTGAGGTTAGGTTTTCTGGGGGGGATTTTTTTGTGGCTTCACTTGTATGCGGTCCCTGACTGACTTTTCTGTGGGTCGGCTGCCCTCAATCCTAAAAAGGTTCCCCGCCCCTGCTCTATGGACTTAGCTGAGAGCTATTTGGCTTTTAGCTCAAGTTGGAGAGGCTTATGCACTAAGCTCCAGAAGTCCCAGGTTTGGTTCTGCCTGTCGGCATTACATTTGTGCCAGTATTGAGACACATCTGCACCCTCTCCCGCCAGTGCAGCTGCACTGCCATGGATTAGCTCAGCCTGATTTCAAACCACATCAGTGCAAGCTCCAGGTACCTCACTTCTAGGATGGAGTGCAATGTCGATTTTGATACTAATTCACCCAGTGAAAACAGGTTCTCAATCTCAGCTATGAAGAGCCGCAAAGCTGGCTGCAGTCACAAGGCATTTTAAACTGGACCCACTAGCCTCCATGTGCAGCAGCATCCTTAGACAATAGACTCACCACACAGAGGGTGAGTCTAGACTATACCTCTCTGTCGACAGAGAGATGTAGATTAGGCACATTGAAATTGCTAATGAAGCAGGGATTTAAAAAACCCCTTGTTTCATTAGCATAAACATGGCTGCCACTTTTTTTCGAAATGGACTTTAAAAACAAACAGGCAGTCTAGATGTGGATCTGTCGAAAATAAAGCCTTTTTTGACAGATCCTGTAAACTTGGATCTGGAAAGGCTTTATTTTTGACAGATCCACGTCTAGACTGCCGGTTTTTGGGGGGGGTTCCGAAAAAAAATCCATTTTGAAAAAAGCGGCGACCATGTTTATGCTAATAAGGCACAGGATATTTAAATCCCTGCTTCATTAGCAATTTCATTGTGCTTGATTTGCATCCCTCTGTCGACAGAGGGATGCAGTCTAAACATAGCCTGAGGTAACCTCAGAATTCTAGTTCTCTGTCTTCTGACATTCTTCACTTAACTCCTGCCCACTTCCCAGCTGTTAGGAATGATTGGACCCAGATGCAAGAAAGAGGTCACTTACCTGTTACTGTCTTTTCTCTAAACTTTTGTGACAGCTGATCCTTTAGCCCCTACAGGAATGACTTCCCAGTCTCCATGCCATTATGAACCATTGTCTGTTTAAGAGAGGATTCAGTCTGTGGTGAACTTGTGCTGTTTAGATATAACATGAAAAATTTAGGAATTTGAAGGTGCAGCCATATGTATGCCATATAAGTAATTTTAGCCACTGCAGTAAATATTTTAATATATTCTAAGAAGTCATTACTGAGTGGGTAGGTCAAAATGTGCAGTGATGTAAAGTAGGATTTTAGCAGGTTCAAAAGTACATTAGTTTTAGGGTGCATCAAAAGTTTTTCATCAAAACTTTTTTAAATGGGAAATTGGGTTTCCAATTAATTTTTTTGAAAAGTGAAATGAACAATGTCAGTTTTCTGCAGAACATTTCAAATATTTATTTAAATACATGAACATTTTTCATTTTGGTTATGCTGCTGCACACCTCATGAGAGTTGCAGTTCAGGTGCCTCATTCCCCCCAACATCATGTGTGCCTGGGGTTCATGGCCCAGACTGCCTCTTCCTTGATGAACAATGGCCCAGGATTTCTATGACGGATGGTGGGAGACCATGGTGCCTCATGGGAGATGCAGTCCAGTTAGAGAGTCTGGCCTATTGAGGAGAATGGGCGAATTAGATGCCCAAACTATAATTCGATGTAGGGTTGCCAAGTGTCCGGTATTGACCTGGACGGTCTGGTATTTTCACCTCCTGTCTGGTAAAAAAAATTCAGAAAATACCGGACACCTAAAATGTCCGGTATTTTCTAATTTTTTTCCCTTCCAGGAAGTGAAAATACTGGACACCTGGCAACCCTACGACAGACTCAGCAACCGGGCTCAGGCCTCACCCCTCCCGGTCCCCTGCCAGTTCCCCCGGTCGCCCTCCCACCTGCTTACCTGGTTCCGCAGGGGTTTGTCTTATGGCTGGATCAGAAAAACAAAATGGCCACTGGCAAAAAAGCCTATTCTTAAAGGGGCCATGCTGTTTGTTTATTTTTTATTTTATTTATTGCTTAATAACTGCTCTCTGGGTCTCCCCCTTTTTTTCCTCAACAGAATTTTTTTCCCAATGGTTCTTTTTTTGGGGGGGGAGGGGAGGGAGAGAATGTTCGGTATTTTTGGTTAAACCATCTGGCAACCCTATTCCCATGAGGCACTCAGGAGCCTTTCCAAATAAAATATTTTTAGTTTTGACTGAAATATTTAGCTTTTTGAAATGTTATGAAAAGTCAGAATTTTCTGAGGAAACCATCCCCTCCAATCATCTCTCCCCACCCCCACTACTATTTTCTGATCAAGACTACATTATCTCACCAGTGAAATGAGTTTACAGGTGACCTGTAAGCCCCCTCCCCCACTACTATTTTCCGATCAAGACTACATTATCTCATATCAGTGAAATGAGTTTACAGGTGACCTGTAAGAGATTAACATTTCTTTGAACCACAGTAGATATGTCAGAGTCTGGTGAGGAAAAGCCATGGACTGAGATAACTGAGGAAATGCAGGGATGGATGAAGGTGTTGCAGATCTGTGTGGGAAAGACTGCACAGAACAGCACCTTTCTGAAGTATATTGGTATGTACAGCAGGATCAACAGAATATACACAGCAGAGCAAAGGCACTCAGGGAAGTACAGCAATGCATCATGCTGTGAAACATCACTGATGAATAGGATAGAGTACATGAAGTAGGGCATTTTATAGGGACAGTCCTGATATTTAGAACTTTTCCTTATAGAGGCACCTATGATAATCCTATTCTGATTTTTCACACTTTGGTCACCCTAAGGTTATGTTTACACTACAAGCCAGGGATGTGATTCCTCTGCTCATGAACTCATACGAACACTAGTTTGATGTGTGCCAGCATGAGTATAAATAGCCGTCCGCAAAAGTGGCACTGATAGTGCCAGTGCAGGAACCGCTGAGCCGTGTTAAGTAACAACTTGCCTGAAACAAATGGGTACGTCCTCAGTACAGTTCAGTTGTGCCCCCACTGCCACTGCACTGCCCTACAGTGGCTACACTGCTCTTTATACTTGGGCTAGCAGGAGTACGCCCCTCACTTATAGTGTAGCCAAAGACAGAAAATTATCTGAATGTTACAGGTCCCTTGATCAGTTAGCTAGCTGGGTTCGCAGAGTCAGATACTTTAATATTTCCTATTTAGGCACAGGTTAATGCTACTATAAGATACAGTGTATTGCTCTTACATTGGGTGACCGTGTCCCTTTAAGCTCATTGAATGTAAAACATCATGTAGGTGCAAAGCTTTATACACTAGCATTTAACATGAAAAATGGAGCTCTTGGTATCTCTTTCTGTGATACATTTTCAAAAGATAGTCATTCCTTTCTCTCCTCTAAAGACTGTTTTTCAAAAAGAATGATGTAAGACTTCACATTTATATAGCACTTTCCTTCTTCACAGGGCCTTGCTAACTAATTAATGTTGAGTGTTCATCCATCACAGAAAAGCCCTTTGTTTTAGTGCTGCTTCTAGATGGTTTGTTGCATCTACCACAGCACTAACTTATATTCTTTATTTCCTTTTTCTTGGTCAGCAGAAACAGGAGGCTTCCAGGACTCCAGCTGGACTAGTACCATATAAATAAAAACCTTAGCTTAAAGTTATCTAGAAAAATGCCAGCATGTAAGTGAATTTAAGCCAAATGGCCATTGTCCCACAAATAGACCATTTAGATTTGATCTGTTTGGTCATTTTTCTGATGGCAAAATGTGCTAGTCTGTTGAATAATTCCCTAGCACTTGCTACATTTAAAATCAAGGTGAACACACTAGAAAACACACTGTAGGGAGCAGCCTGATACTGGTGAGGAGAGGGACAGACTGGGTGACCTAATGAATCTTACTAATTTCCAACTTCTATGTTTTCTGTAAAAGACAGTCTTTTCTATTGATTTCACAGACTTGTTTAGTTCTGCAACTTAAAACACACTTCAGAGGCAGTTCAAGGATTTTGTGGTCACGTTTTGTTTTGCTGGTTTTCAAGTCTGCTTGATGTAACAGATAGTTTGGAAGAGCAAAATGTGTAATTCTTCTTGGCCCTTTCTTGCACACTACCTGGAAGTTAGAAAGCACATTTCTAGAAATTTCTCACAAGTTGGCTCTGCCCTCAGCTGATGCTGTGACTGTGAGAAAGCAGCAAGGATTGTAAGGATACTATTCCATTAGTCACTGAATAATACCTGGTCTTACAGCTTATTACTTTCCTAGTCAAAGGGCTTTTACAGTACTAGCTATATAATACAGAGCAGAAGCTGCCGTACAATGGTTAGGTTGTAGGCAGTATAATAAAAGCACTGCAGTGAGCCTTTTTCAGTGAAAGAGTAAATGCCACTGCATCCGAAATGAAAGCAAAGTGTATCTTGTTGAGGTTATATTCAGTTACAGCACCATGGGATACCAGTTAGGAAAGCTACAGCCCTTTACCTGTTTGCGAAGTTAATGCAAGTGACCATTTGTCTTTTTGTTACTTCAAAAATCACTGCGGACTCTCTTGGCCCTTAATGAACAGACTATATTATTGACACAGGTAGTCTGTAGAAAATGGAAAAATCAAAAGGATTCTTTAATTGCTTTTTAAATGTGGAGTTTGAGGTTTTTATTATGATTTAACTTGCCACAGCACAGGAAGAAATTGTACATCTTCCTTATGAACATGGAACCAGTTCCTTGTATTTCTTTTCCATCCAAACTCCTCTTTACTTCAGTGCAGGATCAGGGCATCAAAGCAAGACAGAGCATGCTGCTGCATGAGAATCCACATACACAATACAATCACTGCATTGGAAGTTGGGGTCTGGAAGTGAGCACAGCACTCTGCACCATGGAACTGGAGCTGCCCCTGGGCACTCTGGTGCTTCTTTTGAATGTGTTGCTACAAGCCTGGCAGCACTTTCTGAAGGCTGCCTTTCACCATCTGCTCCAGCCCAACCCCCAGGCCCTCATCTGGACCCTCCTGGGGTACGTGGAGGAGCAGCTGCAGCTCCTGGACGCCAGCATGCCCTGCCACATCTGGCGTCTGGACACGGGACCACATCGTCCTGGAGTGCTCGAGAGATCAACAATGGACCCAAAACTTTAGGATGAAGAAGGACACCTTCCTCGAGCTCTGTGTGGGGCTCGCCCCTGCTCTGCAGCAATGAGACACACACATGAGACCCGCCATTCCCCTCCAGAAGCGTATGGCCACCGCCCTCAGGAAACTCTCCACACCAAATAGCTACCGACCCATGGGTGTACTGCAACTCCTCAATATGCCAGAGGCTGCACACCGGGACTTTCTGCCCCAATCGCCACATCAGGGTCGGGGACGTGGACAGATGTGCCTGGTGGGGGATGTGGCCTGTCTCCTACAATCCTGGCTCATGAAGCCCTATACCGGACATCTCAGCCCCTCCCAACAGGCCTTTAATGCCAAGCTTGGCAGGGCCCGCATTGTAGTGGAGGGTGCCTTCGGCCGGCTGAAGGCCCGTTTTAGATGCCTCCTCACCCGCCTGGATCTCTCTGAGCGGAATATTCCACATGTGGTGACGGCATTCTGCGTGCTGCACAATTTGTGTGAGAGGAAGAGGGAGGCTTTCCTGCCAGGCTGGATGACAGAGGCCAACCACTTAGCCAGCCTGTACACTCAGCCCTGCTCAGCTGCCAGCCAGGAGGTCCATCAGGGGGCTGTCCGTATCCGGGAGGCCCTGCGGGAGAGCTTCCACCCAAAGGAGGACTAACAGTCTCCTTGGTGTGCCCCACTGGGGGCTTGTGCCTCATTCCTCCCTCAACATCCTTCCACTTACCCCTCCCTAACCCCCCTTCCTGATGTACAATAAAGGACATGTATGATCATGAAAACAAACTCTCTTTATTGAACAAAATTGGGGTGGGGTGGGGAATGAAACTCAGTTGAGACTGGGGAAAGAAGGCAGGAGAGGAGAGGAGAGGTAAGCGGGTAGGAGAGGGGAGGGAGAAACCTGGGAGGAGGAAGCTGGAAGGGGGAGGCAAGGGGAAGAAGGGGGAGGAGATGCTCAGGGTTGGGAGTCTCACTGGACCAACCTGACTTTCATGCAGATCTGC